AGGGAAACCTACACACATACACCTACCCACACACGCACACACGCACGCACACACACGTTGGAAGTGAGTTCAGAAACCCTTTTCAGTACCACTGTTAATTTCTTAGTCTTGAGAAAGGTACCATGGTTATATCAGATGTTAACTTTAGGAGAAAATGGGTGAACGGTATGCATATAGAAACTCTATACTGCCTTTGCAACCTTTCCATAAATCTAAAATTATTCCAAAACAAAGTTTTAAAACAAAAAATAGAAACAAACACAATCTAAAATGTAAAGCTTTGAAATAAGGTAAACATTATCATACACTGTTGTATAAGCAATTTTCTTATAAAACTACCTTTTTTCCCAAGAAATTACACGACTCAGGGAATTAATTATGAGCCATAATAAATAAGCCTTATAAGGGAATTATTTGCAAAGTTTTAAAAGTTCTGTATACTTTCTTACAACTCAATAATGAAAAGACAAATAATCCAATTTAAAAACGCAAAAGACTTGAACAGACAGCTCTTCAAAGCAGATAAACAAATGGCCAATAAACACATCATTAGCCAATGGGGAAATGCAAATCAAAACTACAATGACATACCCCTTCACAGCCACCAGGATAGCTACAATCAAAAAGACAGATAATAATGTGTTGGTGATGATGTGCGAAATTTGCAACTACTACTCACAAACTACTACAGGGGAATGTAAAATTGTGCAGTTACTTTGGAAAACAGCTTGGCAGTTCCTAAAAATGTTAGACATACACATGTAAATTTACAGCAACATTATTCATAATAGCCAAAAGGTGGAAACAACCCAAATGTTCAACAACTGACAAGTAAATAAATAAAATGTACCATATCTATACAATGGAATATTATTCAGCCATAAGAAGAAATGAATCTTGAAAACATACTAGACCTCATAGTGTGCTCAGTGTTTAGAACGTCAGCCTGCACACTGAAGGGTTGTGGGTTCCATTCCTGGGCAAGGATAGCTACCTGGATTGTAGACTGGATCCCCAATCCGGTTGGGACTTGTGTGGGATGCAAACAATCAATGTGTCTCTCTCACATGAATGTTTCCCTCTCTTACTCTCTCTCTTCCTCTCACTCTCTCTTATCCCCCTCCCTCTACTCTCTCTAAAATGGAAAAAATATCCTCCAGTTAGGATTAACAACAAATTGTGCTAACTGAAAGAAGCCAGACACACAAGACCACATATCATATGATTCCATTTATATGAAATATCCTGAATAAGCAAATATATAGAAACAGAGAGTAGATTGATGGTTGCCTAGGCTGTGAGAGGTTGAAAAGAAATGAGGAGTGGCTACCAAGGGGTACAGGATCTTCTTAAAGTGATAAAAATGTTCTAAAATTGATTGTGGTGAGTGCCGTATAACTTTGACTACACTAAACGCCATGTGAATTATATCTCAATAAAGTTATTTAAAAAAGAGTTCTGCTATTTAAGCATTTTTGATTCTCATCTAACCTTTACAACAATCCTGGGTATTTACTGGTGAAGACACAGGTGGGACTTAGAGAGCATAGGTAACTTCCACAATATCACACAACTATTAACTGCCAAATCCAAGACTGCTCTTCACCGCATCATACTGTTTCCTTTACTTCTAGTTATGTTGGTATTTTCATATTCTTAAGTTCTCACTCTAATCAAGGGTGGAGCAAAAGGAGGTTTACAGTTGTTTGCATGGAAAATACAATATTAATAACAATACAAAAATAAACTGTGTTGTGTACTCACAACTGTAAACCTATTTTTGTCCACCCCTGTATTTACTTCAAGAAGTACAGAAAAGCCGAGACCGGTTTGGCTCAGTGGATAGAGCGTCGGCCTGCGGACTGAGGGGTCCCAGGTTCGATTCCGGTCAAGGGCATGTATCTGGGTTGCAGGCACATCCCCAGTGGGAGGTGTGCAGGAGGCAGCTGGTCGATGTTTCTCTCTCATCGATGTTTCCAACTCTCTATCTCTCTCCCTTCCTCTCTGTGAAAAATCAATAAAATATATTTAAAAAAAAATAAAAAAAAAAAAAAAAAAAAAAAAAAAAAGAAGTACAGAAAAATTTAACATCTGAAGATAGTAAACTCAAGTATCTCCTTCATAGTGCATTTATCATAAAAGAAAATTTAGGTAAAATATTGTCTATGTCTTTTTTTTTTAATCCTTGCTCAAGGATATATTTATTGATTTCAGAAAGAAAAGGAGAAAGAGAAACATCAATGTGAGAGAGAAACATCTATCGGTTGCCTCCCATATGCACACCAACCAGGGATCGAACCCACAACCTAAGTGTGTGCCCCAATCGGGAATCGAACCCGCAACTTTTTTGGTGTATGGGACAACACTCCAACCAACCAAGTCACCCGACAGGGCTGTTTATATTA